TGTTTGTTGCTTACCCTCCTTGTGAAGGGTGTCAATGATTGTCTTCTGGACAACTACCAGATCAGCAGTCTTCCCCATGATCGTGTAGCCTAGTGAACCAAACTGAGAGACCATTTTGAAGGCTCAGGAAAGCTTTGCAGGTGTTTTGAGTTGATTAGCTGATTGGCATGTCACCATATTCTAATTTGTTGAGATAGTGAATTGGTGGGTTTTTGTTAAATGTGAGCCAAAATCATCACAATTAAAAGAACCAAAGACTTAAACTACTTCAGTCTGTGTGCATTGAATTTATTTAATACACGAGTTTCACAATTTGAGTTGAATTACTGAAATAAATGAACTTTTCCATGACATTCTAATTTATTGAGATGCACCTGTATGCACATCTGATGATATTTTGCATTAACAGTGAGATGGACTTTCTTTTTTACAGATCTTGATGCGATCACCCCACAAATAAGCATCTCCCCCAAAGTGAATGTTGTTGAGGGTGACAGGGTGCAGATCACATGTAAGGTGCAACTTAACTCAGATCTTGAGTTGTACCTCACCAAAGGCAACACCCTTCTTCGTGAATCTCATACAACCTTCACATACAGCCTCGTAGTAAGAGCTGAGGATTCAGGGGTCTATGTGTATAAAGCAGAGAAAGGCAGCGTGCAAAAGAAGGCAGTCTATCTGCTAAATGTTGCAGGTAAATAACCACCAAGATTTTCTAAGAGAAATGTGCATCAGATTTCCACACAATTCAAATGTTCATCATTCAGGTTGTACACATCACCAACCATTTGTGTGTTTTTTACTTAACATTTTGACTAATATTAAAATGCTTTCAGCTATCAATTAGTGTACTGCCATATGACATTGTTTGATTTTTGTCATTATTATTGAATTAAAAGAAGTTTTATTTTAATAATGGCAGTTATGTGTTAAAATTGTAGTTAGAGTGGAATATCAAGATACATTTTCACCATTAAGAAATGAAAACTGAGATATTTATCTTTTAATTTTTTACAGATATTTTGCACATAGTTCTGTCCTTGTAGATTTTGTTCTGATTTGTTTATCATTTATTTCTATATTTTTTCAAGAAAGTATGATGCATTATACACTAGTTACTAATGTAAAATACACTGCATACGTGTTATTTTAGTATCACAGAGATACTATTTTGAACAATATTTTGAATTAGGTTTAATTTTTATGTTGTCTGTTTTGATTTAATTTTGTATTATTATTTCAAGTAACACAGGTTTTTATGGCTTCAATTTTAGTTTTAGTTAACTACAATAACCCTGGACTGCATGATAGTTAAATATTTTTTCTGAAACCATCAGAACTGTTCTCAAAGCCAATTTTGAAAATGAGCCCAGACCAGCTTTTTGAAGGAGAACGCTTCACTCTGACCTGCAGCAGTACTGTAATCTCCTCAGTGAAGATCGGAAAAGCAGACATAAAGTATGTTTTGCTGAAAGATGGCCGACGCATTGCAGCAGTTGCCAAATACGATGACACTGCAAGCCTGGCCACCAATGGGAACTACTACTGTATGGCCATGGCTAAAGAAGTTAACAAGACCAGCTTACCATTTATTTTAAAGGCTAAAGGTGATGAGTTTCTGCTTTTGTCAAAGCTCTGTCATGCGGGGACATGCATATATTATCCATATTACTAATTGACTGCTATAACATAACATTTTTGTTAATTCTATGTTATAACATGTTATAATACAGTAATAACAAAAGCTGTTTGATAAACTAGCAATATAGTTGCTCCCAATAGTGCCAATACTCTAAACACTTAAAAATAAGATGATTTTTGTAGAGATGCATTTGAAGAACCATGTTGGGTTCTCGAAAGAAACTTTTTCCACTATAACGAATCTTTTGTGGAATGGAAAGATTCCATGGATGTTGAAGGTTCTTCATGAAACCATAGATGCCAATAAAGAACCTTTATTTTCGAGAGTGTAGAATCGACACAAATTGATTTATTTCAGTTGACATGGTGCATTTTCTTTTGTGCATGCTTCTCATTTTTCCTCTTCTCTTTTCCAGTGCCTGTTTCTGCCCCAGTCCTTCGTGCTGTTAATAAGGTGATTGTTGGTAAACCATTCAGAGTTTCATGTGAGTCTGAAAATGGAACGTTTCCAATAACCTACACCTTACTGAAGACCAGCGTTCCAGTGGATTACAGGACAGTGGTTGAGGCAGCTGACAGGGCGATCTTTAATATAACCTCCATCAGTTTCCCTGAAGAGATCTACAGCTTCATATGTCAGGCGTCTAACCATGTGCCATCATTCAGTAACACCAGTGAGCCCCTTAGAGCACCAGTCATAGGTAAGAGGACCCCATACTGACAACTTCATACTGAAACATCTGTGTTTCTGCTGTTTTTGAATTAATTTGGAAGTGTTTTTTAGATGCTGATGTATGCTTTAATCACTGATGGACCTTTGAGTCCGGTACCATTTTTGATCACTAAAACTTGTGTCACATTCATTATATTCCTATTCTGCACACCAAAGCCTGCAAGATGAATTAAACACTGTTGTTTAGCTAAAGTTTAACTTTCAGGGAAAGTTTTTCAAGTTATTCAAAGTTTGTCATTATAAATCTTCGCAACATAGACTCATTGGGGAAAAAAAATATATATGTCTATAGTTACATTTTTGCAAAACTCCAAAAATGTACTTATGCCTACAATTCACTGCAGTTTGTCACTGAAATTAATTACAAGGCAGATTATTGGTTAATAAAGACTTGTTTTCATGCAGTTCCTTGCACAAAACTATAGGTGCGTTTCCATTAGCTTTCAAATTGCGCAAATTGAAATTGCGAATTGAAAATACGGCCAATGGAAACGCATCAATTTCACAAAAACGCCCATATATCGCAAAAAAGTTTTAAGCTCGCATGAGGTGGTTTTTCAGGCAATGCAAAAAAGGAATAATTTGCAAAACTGCAATCGAAAAGTTTTTTTGCATTTACAGGTCACATGGCGTATGTAGAAAATCATATTTCAATGTACTATAACCTCCAAGAAACACTTCATACATGGCCGCTCTCCAGTAGGCTATAAGGGGCTTCCCTACCATTAATGCTTAGACAATTTACACTGCACACGTCTGCGATGCAGTGTGGCTCTGATACGGCCACTGAAGCTGATTGCGGCCGCTCTAGTCAATGTTTTTCTGAAGTGGCTCTCTGTGCTGCTTCTGTAAAGATACACGCATACACCTCCTTTGAATAATTATAGCCAAAATCCGTTAAAATCCCACCAAAATCCGTTGCCATGACTTATCGCGAGAGGCAAAAGGTTACGTTTTAGTCGCATAACATTGGTTAATGGAAACGCCGTCATTTCGCAATTCTTTTTTATTGACATTTATAAAATATCGCCAAAGTTTTGCGCAAATCTGTAATGGAAACGCTTATGTTATGACCTCAAAACACTTTTACCATAGTGTAAACTAACACATAACCAGCTCCATATGTATGGCTCTTCTGACATAGTAAATTGTACAGTGTCCAGTGAAACACAAGTCACGTTGAAAGAGCTGAATGATTCATAAAAGCATGTGTTACAGTGATTTGGTCACAGTTTTGCATCCTTCCTAATGTCACCATCTATTTGTGGTAAAATCACTGCAATGCACTGCCTCTGAAGCTTTATTTATTTAATACTCTTGTTTTATACTAGAGGACATTATATCCACTTTTTTTTTTTTGCCAGTACTTGTTTTGTTTGCTTTTACCAAATTTAACGTGAGTCACTTTTGGAGAACCATCAAAAATTATTAATCAATATCAGTGAAACAAACAGTAAATACAACATGAATGCATGTTAAATCTGTCAAGCTTGTTAAATGTTTAGCTCACATACAAATTACAATTATGTCATTATTATTTATTCATGTTGTTCCAAAAAAAATTATGCTGGTATTTCCATGGAAAAAAATGAAACACACACACACAAAAGTTGTCCATTCAACTACAGATATACTTACTTAAAGTCTCCTGAAGTCATTCAACAGCTGCATTGTAACAGAAGTTGATGTTGTTATTCAGTGATAATGTCGCTCAGCCAAACCTCTGAAATCTTGTTCACATTCAGATAAAAAACATGGCATAACAATGACTCCAAACACCATTTGTTCTCACAAATGTTGAATTGGAACACAGTGCACCTGTTCGAATATGTAAAATGGGAAATGGGAAGTTGTAATGGATCTCCAGTGATTAACGACTGAAAGATGACTTCAGAAGACCTATGGGCTAGTATTATGGTACTTACATAAATAAAGACAGAATTTACATTTAATCTAGCTAATCAAGCTCTTACTAGGCATAGAAACTTCCAGTCAGGTGTGTTGAGGCAAGTTGGAGCTAAACTCTGCAGGACACCGGCCCTCCGGGACCGAGTTTGGACAGCCCTGCTATAGGACATTGGATTGGACACCTCTGGGTTATGGAAATTAATTTGAATATTGAATCGTACTGAAAATTGTATTTTATTGATTTTTCTCTGACACTAGATGTTGAACCCATATACTGATTGTCACTGATATATTGTTCGTTTCTGCCTTACAGGAACTCCCTTTGTGATGGGCAGGAATGTCTGGAGTGAAAATGTATCTGGCTCAGGTAGTACAGATTTTAAACCGGATTATGCCAAAGTAATGCGAGTTCATCACATGACACCCTCTGCTTGCTGTTTTTCTAGATTCTGATGATCATACTGATGAAGACTCTGAGCTGGTTCACCCACAGGAAGTCAATCCTAGAGGAGGTGAGCTGCAAAGGTTTTCAAAGATCTTCAACAGTCAATGAATTCCTCAGATGGAATCATTGTGAACAATCTGTCAGTTATAGCTGGATATTGAATATATCGAATCGTTGGTTTTGGTTCTGTGTGAAATGCTGTGTCAGAACCACCATAAACTGTGTTTACATTTGCTAAACTGTTCACGATTTATTTAATACAAAATTGCAAGAAAGAATGATACTGGTTAGATTTTTTAAGGTTTTCATGCACATTTAGGTATGTACAAATTCAAAGTAGCACAATTGGTTATAGTGACGACGAACATGAATGTGTCATCACAGCTTGGCTCTACGATGTCATTTGGTTTACTGTATATTGATTTCTTGGTGAGTTTATTTTGTGTCATGCTAATGGGATGATTTATGTGTTTAAGGACAATACCAACGTCAAGTCTTCAATGTGTCAATAAATGTGTGTTTTGTAAGATTAATAATAGTCCAAGGCACTCGAATCTTATTCAAAAAGTTTTAAAAGCCTTTATTTCATCATGGCTATAAGTTTTAAAAACGGGTGACAAGTGCACACCTACACATTGCGGCTATTTGAGTTCATTTTGAGCAGCAATTAATTAGTCTAATGTGTGTTTTGTAGTTGGGTACAAGAAAAGACCAGAGTCTTGGTTGGTTTCATATTTTCTTTTTATAGTATGGAGCCCCGCACATGGCATGCAGGAAAAAAATAGTAGGCTAAATCGTGTGCACGATTTACTATTTCATTTCCTCGATTTATAAATTGTGCACACGATTTACTAATTTGTTCCCTCGATTTGCTAAGTCGTGCACATGATTTAGACGTGAGAACGTTTTAGTACACCGAGGGAACGAATTAGTAAATCGTGCGCATTCAGTTTATTAGTACTTTTACAGAAATTTGTTTTATCTGAGGTATGACTGACAAATATTCATCACATGAAGTTTATTAGTTTATATTAAAACAGTGTAAATGTGATCATTTTATATGGAAATTAAAATACATAAATCTTAAATTTAGTGTTGTTTTTTTATGTAGTATTGTTTTTTCTCTACTGTCTAAATCCAGAAAAGACCAGAAAATGCCGTTTTTGGATCATGACTACTTTGAGAATTTCCTATCAACACAACTTTCTTAACTACGTCATTTCCATTTGGATGCTAAAAAATGTGTGCAAATGTGTCCATATTTCGAATAGATGTTCCCGTGAAGAAACCCACAGAGACCGAATACAGTGTCCAGCACACAGAGGTCCAGGTATCCACACCAGGTGAGCTCAGATGTTTGAATCGCATACATTACAGCATGACCATAACAGGCAGTAAAAGAGGCACGTTGTTACACTGCGTCCAAACTGACATTAATGAATGTGTGGTGTTTTCATCATGCATGAGACGCCAGGTGGCTATTTCCTGCACTGGTGGGAAATAGCTTCCTGTTTTCACAATGGGCCCTGGAGCCTCATGTTCCTCTGCCCAACCGACACAGAAACTCGTCTATTGTTTCTTTAGCGCAAATAAACACTCCACAGTCCCTTTTCCCTGGTTGATTAATAGCAAGACCTCTTGCTAATCATTGCAGTATGCATGTGAAACAATGCTGAGACATAGCAGAGGTCACACTGAAATGGGTTTTGGCATGCCCACATATTGCCAAACAATAGCTGCATCTGGAGGGAAACGGATTACTTACACAGGCACATTAGCATGGCACTAACACGATAAGCCTAAGGCGGGCACCACACTCCTCTTCCTTGGGAGTTGGTTCAGGAAGTTGGGCTGAAGTTATTAAATTAAATATTCATCCATTTTCCACTACGGCTCTTTTGTGATGGTGGTTCATTTGTTTTTTTTTTGCAGGAGTTTCGGAACAGGCTGAGGGCGTAAGTGACGCACAATGTTGACACACAGACACAAAAGTCCACATTTAGGTATGTACAAATAGTTTTGCAACAGGGAGGCCCTCTTGTGGAAGAAATAGGTGCCACAGAAGAAATCTCAATACGATGTATCTGATTTGGTCAGTTTTATGAGGCCTGTCAGGAAAATTTCCAATCACACAAAATCCAAAGAGGAAAATTAAGAAAATAGCACATTTTACATGTATTCCAAATATTTTCAATTCTCATTGCCATCACTGTATTACAGTAAAAATGCTGCTCTAAAATTATTTTTTTAATTAAATCAGCATAGTTAAGAGCAGTACAACAAAAACTGTCATGATATAGAAATACTTTATATTTGTTTCATATAGTAGTAATGAATATGAGAATCAGACTTTTTTTTCTCTCATTATAAGGTATATAATTTGGGGGGGGGGGCATGCTTAATTAGCATGAGCATAAATAAATTTTGTACAAATTACGAAAAAACAAAAGCTGCATGTATTGTCCACAGTTATATTTCTGTATTAGTTTAGACAGCCAGTTGATTCAAATGTAAAATATTGCTTGGAACTTGATTCTGCAAGCTAGTTTGTGAAGTGTGCTCTGGAATATGCACAACTCAACAACAGTGAACAAGAACCTGCATGAGTCTCGACACTTTACACCTAATTTATTCAGCTTCTCCACCACCAGAAGCTGATTTTCAATCATGATGTGCTGACTTTGAATATTGTACTTTTGATTATTAACATTACTTTGTGACTTGGATTTGTTACATGAGTAAAATTTGTTATGATGTTTGTATATCAGAGATTAAAATGTGAGCAGTCAAATCAAGTTTTTTGCTGGTTTTCTTTGTTTTTCCTCTTCGGTGTGTTTTTTTCAATAACTATGAGGAACAGGAAAGACATTTTTGCTTCCAGAACACGAGGGAGCCACTGAACCACTTGAAAGAGGTAGTCTTTTAAAGTGGAGCTACTCCAAAGGGTCCTTTTAAACATTTAGGATCAAAAGCCACTGCTAACTTTGTATATAGAAGTTTGAAGAGACTTAGCCCCTTGTTAGAAAAGTTGTTCTAACTAAATTGCAAGTATACAGTGGGGCAAAAAAGTATTTAGTCAGCCACCAATTGTGCAAGTTCTCCCACTTAAAAAGATGAGAGAGGCCTGTAATTTTCATCATAGGTATACCTCAACTATGAGAGACAAAATGAGAAAAAAAATCCAGAAAATCACATTGTAGGATTTTTAAAGAATTTATTTGCAAATTATGGTGGAAAATAAGTATTTGGTCACCTACAAACAAGCAAGATTTCTGGCTCTCACAGACCTGTAACTTCTTCTTTAAGAGGCTCCTCTGTCCTCCACTGGTTACCTGTATTAATGGCATCTGTTTGAACTCGTTATCAGTATAAAAGACACCTGTCCACAACCTCAAACAGTCACACTCCAAACTCCACCATGGCCAAGACCAAAGAGCTGTCAAAGGACACCAGAAACAAAATTGTAGACCTGCACCAGGCTGGGAAGACTGAATCTGCAATAGGTTAGCAGCTTGGTGTGAAGAAATCAACTGTGGGAGCAATTATTAGAAAATGGAAGACATACAAGACCACTGATAATCTCCCTTGATCTGGGGCTCCACGCAAGATCTCACCCTGTGGGGTCAAAATGATCACAAGAACTGTGAGCAAAAATCCCAGAACCACACGGGGGGACCTAGTGAATGACCTGCAGAGAGCTGGGACCAAAGTAACAAAGGCTACCATCAGTAACACACTGCGCCGCCAGGGACTCAAATCCTGCAGTGCCAGACGTGTCCCCCTGCTTACGCCAGTACATGTCCAGGTCCGTCTGAAGTTTTCTAGAGAGCATTTGGATGATCCAGAAGAGGATTGTGAGAATGTCATATGGTCAGATGAAACCAAAATAGAACTTTTTGGTAAAAACTCATCTTGAGGAGAAAGAATGCTGAGTTGCATCCAAAGAACACCATACCTACTGTGAAGCATGGGGGTGGAAATATCATGCTTTGGGGCTGTTTTTCTGCAAAGGGACCAGGACGACTGATCTGTGTAAACGAAAGAATGAATGGGGCCATGTATCGTGAGATTTTGAGTGAAAACCTCCTTCCATCAGCAGGGGCATTGAAGATGAAATGTGGCTGGGTCTTTCAGCATGACAATGATCCCAAACACACCGCCCGGGCAATGAAGGAGTGGCTTCGTAAGAAGCATTTCAAGGTCCTGGAGTGGCCTAGCCAGTCTCCAGATCTCAGCCCCATAGAAAATCTTTGGAGGGAGTTGAAAATCCGTGTTGCCCAGTGACAGCCCCAAAACATTACTGCTCTAGAGGAGATCTGCATGGAGGAATGGGCCAAAATACCAGCAACAGTGTGTGACAACCTTGTGAAGACTTACAGAAAACGTTTGACGTCTGTCATTGCCAACAAAGGGTATATTATAACAAAGTATTGAGATGAAATTTTGTTATTGACCAAATACTTATTTTCCACCATAATTTGCAAATAAATTCTTTAAAAATCCTACAATGTGATTTTCTGGATTTTTTTTCTCATTTTGTCTCTCATAGTTGAGGTATACCTATGATGAAAATTACAGGCCTCTCTCATCTTTTTAAGTGGGAGAACTTGCACAATTGGTGGCTGACTAAATACTTTTTTTCCCCACTGTATATACTTCTTATTAAACATTTCAAGGAATTTCACTCAGATTTTCATTCTCACCATTGATTAATTACTGTAGTAAACAATCTGAGACCGAGAAGTGAATGTTGACTTTGAAATGATGTGCCTTTTTTATGGTATACCGCAGGGTTCTATTTTAGGACCTCTGCTATTTTTGTAAAATGTCAACCCTGTCTTAAAAAAAAAGCTTTTAATTTTTTTTAAAGACTAGCTAGATCTGTGTTCCATCATGCAACCTAGGATCTGCAGATTCTACAAGCAGTACATGTTAAAAAAAGGAAGCGTTACTTTTATTTTTATTTTAGTTGTTTAGCTAAGCAATGTTTAATCTATTTAATTTTTCATCTATTTGGGTTGATTTTAAAATATTTTAAATTGTATTTAATTCATTTTTATTTATTTGTTCGTTCGTTCGTTTGTTTGTTTGTTTGGGGGTTTCTTGTTTGTTTGTTTTCAGGGCCATCTCTGAGTGTCACAAAATATTACATTGCTTGTGACACTTCTAGTGTCCTTGGATGGTGCCAGGCTGCTTGAGGGCTCCAATGTGCCACTCAGGAGCTTATCAGCATGACTCCCCATCAATCATACATCGTGGGTTATCAGTAGCAATGGCCACCCATTGTGGTTCCCTTAGAGGAAACAAGGGAGTCCCATAATGGGGTGCCACTTTAGCAGACAAATAGATCTTCAGGGGTTCCACAGTAACTCATAGGGCTTTGTGAAGGAAACCGGGCTTTACAGAAGCTGTATGAGGTGTGTACACTGAGCTTTTCATCACTCTCAGACATGTGCTTATTTTAGGGAGGGGGAACGTCATGTACCTCTGTTTTACTGCCATAAAGTGTCCCTCTCTTGCTCTCACTTGTTCATAACATGAGCCCTCAATGTCGTGCAGAATTCCAGTCCTGCAGTTAGCTGCAATGCTAAAATTGGCACGCTGACCCCTGTTAAATGTATTCTGGGAATATGTTGTCTTTCACTTTGCCTTATGGGGCCAGTCCAGAATGCTACTTTATGAATATCTTGCACTTGTGACAAGAAGCTCTTCTTTCCTGGATACACACCCTTCCGAACCGTAACGCAACACTGACTATAAAACTCAGTGGAAATTAATAAAAAATTATATTATTGATGTTATTTATATTATTTTTAATTACATAGTTTATTAAAAGATTTTATTAATGTTAATGGTTGTGGAATCTGGTTAGCGTGGTAGCAATTTATATGGTAAAGAGACTGACTTATGCAACTGTTTACAAGCTTGCCAACCCTTTTTCTCAGACGACTCTGTTTTACTGTGGTACAACTCAGATTGAACAGATTGCAGATGCTCTCCATTATCCTTTCTATAAATATGAAAGTAACAGAAAATGAAGGGCATATGTATGATAACACTTTGCATGTATGATTGGAAGTGAATGAAACAAGCGTCTAGTGTGCCCACATATTTAGAGTGACACCCTCAGATACAGTCAAAATATCCTGTCAGCAAGACACTGGTCATCTCTGGCTCTACCTGTCTCTCATCTTTAGATAACCTTCCACTTTCCTCGAAAAGCTCCCGATGGGTTGACCCAATGAGAGAACAGGAAGGTGCCTGGAATAGGCCATCATCCAACTGAAGATGATATCCGTGTTATGCAATGAGCTCATGTGGGTAGTTCACCCCTCACTAACCTTCACCCAGCCTGAAGATCAAATTCATTTTCCAAATGGATGAAATTAATAGTTTTAGTTAAAACTAGAACTCATTGTACAGCGACTGTTTACATCCACATATGTTTATATGCTGTTTATACCATAAACTCAATCAAAATACCCACTTACATATGCATCACATGTATTTTGGACAAAATTGATTTGCAAATGAAGAGTAGCAGTTCATTAATGACAAGGCTTGTCAATCCTGTCTATGGTCCTGTCAGGCTTGTTAATCCTGTTTACCAAAGAACATTATTGCCTTTCTAACATTGAAGAATATGCCAAGAAAGCGTTCTTCCCATGATGCTAACATCACAATTACTGAGAATTACAATCAGTGTCCCAAATGTATTTATTTTGCTTATATGTGTGTAATATTAGCCTCATGCCCATTCCTTCTCTAATATCTCGGCATGAGTACTTGAATGTAGGAAAATTGGTCGGAGAGTTGTCTTACGCTGCGCTACAGATTTAGAATTTAATTGTGAAAATAGTCAGACTTAAAGATTTACAGTGTAATTCTTTTTTTTAAGAATTCTGGTAGTATTTTTTTACAGTCCTGTTACGCATGTAGTACTCTGTGGGATCTGTAAGATAATTTAATGTTTTTAAAGATGCCTGTGTTTACAAATATAGTACAATAAAAGCAGTAATATTGTGAAATACTATTACAATGTAAAATAACTGTTTTCTGTTTGAATTTTGTTTTAAAATGTAATTTATTGCTGTGATGCAAAGCTGAATTTTCAGCACCATTACTCCAGTCTTCAGTGTCACATGATCCTTCAGAAATCATTCTAATATGCTTTTCTTATTAGTATCAGTGTTGAAAACTATTGTGCTGCTTAATATTTTGTGGAAATTATGGAAATTATTTTGTGGAAGTTCAAAACAAAACTTCAAAGTAAAGCAAAATTAAATCGAAATCTTTTGTAAAATTATAAATGTCACTTTTGATGAATGTAATGTGTCTTTGATGAATAAAAGTAACAATTTCCTACAATCTAAATATACAGTAATTAAAATAACTGGGTAACAATTAGGTGTTCACCTAGAACTTACCCCTAAACCTAACCATAAACCATAGTTTTTCAGTATGGCAGGTTGAGGTTGAGAATGTCAAATGCAAAACAAATTGTTACACAATTACTAAAACACTAAATTGGAAATTATATTGTGTTATGTGGAACAGTAAAACTACTGTATATTTCAAACCTTGTTCCAATAATAACATAAAGTGATATTCATCTGCCAGTCAGATTTTGAAGACTCTTTTGGCCAATTATTCAAGACTGGGGACCAAAAGTAAAAATGTAAAGATCAGTCATTCAGAAACCTATATCGATGAATGACTATCGATGAATATTGGATGGATGTGTGTTCCTCAATGTCTGTGAGGATTCAAGCTCTGTTTT